CTCATTGTTGTTTTGATTTGCATCTCTCTAACAGCTAATGATCATGAGCATTTCTTCATATGTTTGTTGGCCGCTTGAATATCCTCCTTGGTGAAGTGTCTATTCATGTCTTCTGCCCCATTTTTTAATTGGATTGTTTGTCTTCTTGTTATTGAGTATGGCAATTTCTTAAAATGCTGGAATTAGAAATCCCATTTGATTCAGCAATCCCATTACTAGGTATATATCCTAAAGAAGAGAGAGCCAGAACAAGAACAGACATATGCACACCCATGTTCATCATAGCACTATTTACAATAGTAAAAAGATGGAAACAAACTATGTGCCCACCAACAGAAAAACGGATAACCAAACTACAGTACATACACACAGTGGAATACTATACAACACTAAAGAATAACACTATGCAAAACACTATATAACATGGATGAACTTGGAGGACACTGTGCTGAGTGAAATAAGTCAATCACAGGAGAAAAAATATAGTATTAGTTCATTATTGTAAAAAGTCAAGGAAAAGTTTATATATGGAGGAAACTTTGTTGGTTACAGGGCAGGGAAGAAAGGGGAGGGACTACTACTACAAAAAAAAAAAAAAGCATCGACCTATGTCACTTTAGTTTTGTGTATGTCACTATACATAAATTATATTTCAATAAAATGTATTAAAAAAAAATGAACAAGAAAAGATCAGTTAGAGCATCACCTACAAGAACCCAAGAGGACAGAGATATCTGTCTCACCTAGTATCTAGGAGGCGCTCAGTAAATACCTACTTATGAGTGAATCAAACTTCTGTTCCACGCTCCTCCCTCCAGCTTCCCATCAACCCCAGATTTTGATGGGACTCGTTCATCATCAGTTTCCCTGTCCACTGATCATCCTCATCAATGTATAACCATGTGCTTATTTCCCCATTTTAAAAAACAAAGCAAATTTACTATTCTCCCCACCCCCAGCCCAGAGCCCTATTTCCAGCCCCTTTGAAGAAAAATTCCTTAAGGATCTGTCCATCCTCAGTGCCTCCAATTCCTCCCTTCCCATCCTGTCGTAAGCTCATTCCAGTAAGACTGTCACTGCTCCCGTCCCCCGCTCCATCAACAGTACTCCTTTCAAGTTCTTGAACGAGCACCACACAGCTAAATCCACTGGACAATTCTCATAAACCGGATCTGGCAGCTGCCCACTCGGCCACTCCTTCCCTGTAGATACATCTCCTCACTTGACTTCAAAGACCTCACTCTTTGTGTGTGTGTGTGTGTGTGTGACTGGGGTGCAAGTTTACAGAGCAAATTCATCCTCCATACAGCAGTTCACGTACACTTTGTCTCATGACACTGACTGCAATTTCCCACAGTGCAACAGCTCTCCTCCCACTTCCTCCCCATAGCCACCTCTTCCCTGTGTCCTTCCCTCCCATGTACTCCTGCTTCCTGAGCCGTCTCTCTGTGCAAACACAGCCCTTCTATTCTCACAATTGATCTCTCCAAGGAGTGTATCTACCTAATGTAGATGTTCAGCTCATATGCTTGTCTTTTGTTTGGCTGGGAGCCACAGGTATGGGTTCAATTCCACACCTGAAGGGGAGCGAGGGGCCATAGTCTCAGGGGTTCCACCAGGCTCCATCAGACCAGCAAACCTGGTCCTTTTTTTTTTTT